ACACACACATATAAAAGCATTAAAAATAAATGGGATTTAGCAAATAAAAGGCAAAATAATCCAAAATCATCCTCTTGTGACCTTGCTACGCTTATTCCCCCGCTCTCCTAGGGCGCGCAAGGCTCAATTGGGTTGATTGGAGGGCATGATTATTGGAAGGGGATATTTTACCTTTCCCGCTCCCGCCTTTTACCTTTCCCGCTTCCCCCTTTTACCTTTCCCGCTTCCCCCTTTTTTGCTTTCCCGCTCCCCTTTTTACCTTCTCCCCCCCCCATAGGGGGGGGGAGAAGGTAAAAAAGGGAGCGCGAAAGGGTCCCTTCCCAGCATCAGGTACCTGGGGGGGCCTTGTCACCTTGTCACCGCCCCCCCGTACCTGGGGGAGGGCCCGTCGGGGGGGGGGGGGGCGGAGCTGCCTGTACCGAGCCGTGCCGGCCCGGCATGGCTTCCCGGGAGCGGGTCTACGAGCTTTGGATGCTCTACTTCGCCAAGGTGAGGTCGGCACCGGAGGACCCCACGCACACCCCAGTTCTCCCCCCCACCTCGGAAGGGGGGGTGCGGGGCAGCACCGCTTTTAACCCCCATCACCCCGCTGCCTGCATCCCTGTACAGGGGGACGCCCCCCGGCACCCTCGCCTGTTCTGTCCTGTCTCCCCCATCGTATTTACCTCTGCTGGGGCAGGTCCCACAGGCAGGGGTCCTGGAGAACGGGGGTTTCTGACCGACAGCGTGGGGAACCCTCCGTATCCACCTCCAAAGCCCCTTATACTTTGTTTTCTCCTTAAGTATCCATGCGTCCAGGTTTGGGAAAGGGTCGTGGGGGGGATCCTGGAGGAAAGGATCGCACACCCCCCTGCGTCTCCGCCAGTTCCTATGCCACGGGCTGGGGTGTCCATCTCAGGGAGATTGGGGTGAAGGGCATTATTTCTTTCCCAAAACCCTGCCGTGTTCCCAGCACATGGCAGGGGGAGTTCCAAGAGGGATGGGGGCCCTGGTCCCGATAGCGGAATAGACTCCACAACTTCGTTAAAGTTGTAAAGTAGGTATGCTTTATTCAGCTGTAGAGGCACGGGGGATTGATCCTCCAAAAGGCATGCGTGCGTCAGTGTTGTTTCCCTCTACATTTATCCTCTAAAGTTACAAGGTTGCACAATACGCCTATACATATTCATATTCTATCCCTGCTTCGTATTATAATGACCTAGAAAGTCCTCTGTGCCTGCGCAGTGCCCCCTCTGGTCATGGGCAGGGGTCTCAAGATGAAGTAAATGAGTCTTCCTCTTGTGGGTAGGGGTCTTCAAGATGAAGTAAATGAGTCTTCCTCTTCTTGAACTTGTCACCTTTTAGTCTTCACACATATGGTCTTAGGGTTTGGTCGGTGCCCCAGCCATAAACCATCTGCTTATTCCCGTATCCGGTGTCTGCTTTTCCTTATCAATAGCTACTTATCATTATAATCAGGTGTCTGCTTATCAATAGGACCAGGTGTCTGCTTTTGTTTATCAATAGGACTTGGTGTCTTTGTTCTGCTTAGTAAGCACTTACAACAGACAATACCTTGTCTAGGCAAGTAAATTCCTCTAATTCCTCTAACGCAAGCAAATTCCTCTAACCCCCCTGTACAACCCCCCTGTACATTGGTAAACCCTCTGCATCACTACCTCATTCCTCATTTGGTGTTAACTGATGTCACTGCTGACTTCACAGCTCATAGAAGTTAGGTCCACCAGCGTCTTTGGCCCTTCAATTGGCTCAGAAATCCATGAGAAGGCAGTCCTACTGGCTACTTTAGTTTTATCCCTCCTATGGCTATGCACTTATTTATTCCTGTGCATCAAATTTTCCATCTTGCAGTTGTGAGTGCCAAATGGTGGGCTTGCAGTAGCTGTGGTGCCCACAAATTGAGACACAGTTTGCAGAACAAGGCTGCGTGTACTTTAACAGAAGAGTGGGGTATTGCAAGAGAGAAAACCAAACCAGACCACAAGCCCATTAAGGCATGTTTGGCTTTTGCTCCCTTCAGCAATTTCAGTGTCACCTTTCCTTTCTTTTATACCATTTCTGTATTCATTTGGAGTGAGGGTGGTTCAGTATTGGTCCCATATTATCTGACTACTATATGGCCTCTAAGGTGATGCGTAATAGCAGAGGTAAAACTGAAAACATAAAAACATTCACATTACTTCCATTGCTTAAGTGAACGCAAAAGGATACCTGCTGCCAGACACTGAGCCACATGCTAGGCCTACAACTTGCCTTCCCTTCTCTTCAAAACATCCAGGGAATTTATTTCAGGCATCTAAACCAGAGCCCTAGAGCAGCATTTGTGGTGTTGTTAACGCAAGTGAACACAAGGAGGCACAGAGCTCTGTCTGGCTTTTGTTGAACCTGCTCTCACAACTGTGCTCCCAGAGACTGTTGCACAGTTGCTGCAATCTGGCACACAGTGACGGACGCTTTTGGCTGCTACATACTCCTCCAGTGTTGCTGGCACACCCGGATTACACATCTTCCTAGGGGCGGGGGATCTTTGGAAGTATTTGTGTGTGTTCAGCTGAAAGGGAAACGGTGTGAAACCTGCCAGTCACTCACAACAGGGAACAGCAGACCTGTGACCACCAATACTGTATAAGACTGAAATTGCAGCTCCTGCTGATGTTGGCTGGCTCTGGGGAATGCGTGGCCACAAGGTCTCCAGTGGAAGGTCTGACTTACTTGGAAATCCTGTTGGAGAGAGCACGTCCTTTGTGTGCCCCGTACCTATTAGTGAGAGACTGAACAGAGCTGAAAACTGTGCTTCTCTGTTCCTACTGATTTGGAAGGTAGGAACTTGCTACAGATAGCACTGGGGAAGAGTTTACTGATTTAGTGCCTGCCATAACTGTAGAAAACAAGGTGGTGCAGGTAGGGGTTACTCAGAGGGCAAGCTCCCTCTATGGAGGTGCACCACAGTTGCTAAACGGAATCACTGTTTTTACCATTGTGCACAGGAGTCGAACCCTCCTTAATGTCCCCCCTACCAGCCATCTCCTCCAGTTTTTTGTATTTGCCTGTATTTTATTGCTGTGCCAAAGTACCAGTAGATCTCATTGGTATAGGTGCGTTTCTGAAGCTCAGCTGCCGGAAATTCTTATTTTCTCTCTTCTACAGTGATTAACTGTAATGGTATTTGGTTTTTAAAAAAAAAAAAAGAGTAGGCTGATGAGGCCGGTATTGCACACAAAAAACAGTCACACCATGAAAACATATTCATTTACTTACAGAAAAACATAATCTGGAGTAGCATTCATGAATAAACAAACTTAAATCACAGCTGGACAGAAATCTGTGATGTTTCTCTGTGTTCTCACTTGAACAGGTAATATAACCCAGAATTAAAACATCTCTGTTTGATCAGGCTCAGAGTACAACACCTTTTTTATACCCAGAGTTTCAAACTGCCAAGCTTATTGCTTCTGTTGTTGGGTGATACTTTGTCATTTGCCTCTGGAGTCTGAACAATCAAATATCATCTTGTTTGCACTCTCTGCTATTTTAAATATTCTCATAAAATTGTGAGAATGCCTTTATCTTATTTGGGATATTTCAATTTGGGGGAAATTAATCTTGTTAGAGCAAATGGCAGCTAGTTGGAGACCTCTCTTGAGCTGGCTGCCCTAAAACTCACTCTTTAGAAGAATTACTCCCTCTGAAGCACTTCTCTCTTCAGCTGCCACCATGGCAGCAAGTTAGCAAATCCCTTTTCTTTTCCATTGTCCCCAAAAAAACTGAATATGATTTTCACTAAAGTTCTGCTCCTGCAGTAAATTCTTCGTGCTTTTCTGCAGAGATCTGCATTATTAGGTGTTCGCAGCTATAGTTGCAGAAGCTGACTGATGCAGAAGCTACTTGCTGAGAACCTTCCCTGCAGGTTACCAGCCATGCTTCAGGACATCTAAATATGATGCGTTGCCATTTCTGAACTGCTGCAGTTTGCAATCCAGTTTATTAAAAGACCCTGAGATCAGCAATGGTACACCATATACACAGCATAAAGATGCTGTTATACAAGAGATACTCTGTGAGCCACGATCTCTTGTTCAGAAGAAAGACATGAGGGCAGCACACTCTCTCCTTACATTCAGGCATCTCAGTTTATCCTGCCTTCATGCTGCTGGCTTTGTCACTCAACAGTACTGCTAACATGCCCTGTAAATGCAACCGTCAATTACAGGATGAAGCATTCATAGTTTTACTTCCTTGCTTTGTTTTTTAGGACACCATAACCAATACCAATAACTTTTACCTTCTGTTTGTCATGCTAAAACATTCCCAAGAACTGATTTGTTTATTTGTGGCATGCCTGGTCTGCTGAGATTTTGTGTGCTTTAAAGGGTTATGCAGACCTCGAAGGGAAAATCTGCTCAGATATTTAATGGCCTCCCTCTAGTGGCTGTTACCGGGGAATAAAAGTAGGGCTGTGAGGAAGTGAACCCCGAGGTTAAGCATGTGCATTAACCGTTGTATGAAGATGAAAGGAAGTCAGCTTGAGAAGAAGGCTTATGCCATGTCCAAATATGACACAGAATTACTGACTTATTGCAGAATTACTGACTTACTGCCAAAGTTCACTTACTGCTTTTTCATTCCTGAAAATATCTATCTTGCTACTTCCTTTCCTGCCTTCCATCTCTCCCTCTGTGTCCTTACACATGACGATTTAAGGACAACAATGAGCCAAAATCTGCATGTAGAGAGTTTTTTTGTTTTTCCCCAGTTCTGTTAGTTGGCCAAGTAAGACAAATGTGCAAGCCTCCATGTTTCAGACAGAAAAAAAGAACTCCTGTGTCTGAAAGCCCATCTGATTTCTCTAACCACACTCACTGATCTAGCAGAAGGTGCTGTTTTCTCTTAAAAACCTCATTCCCACAGATATTTAAAGATACTTGTTCTGGGAAGTGCAGCATCTTTATTCCATTTCCAGTACCTTTCTGACAGTTCTCTGCAATAAATATCAGGGTATCTGTATGTGTAGCCAGCAGTTGTGCTCCTGCTTTTAAGTCCTTGCTGACTGTGACTCATTACATTTTTGCATACCAAATGTACACACTTGTCTTTTAGATGGGAAAAATGCTAGGAATGCATGACTCTGTTTATATTTTTATAGAAAAAGATAGCAGTGACAGTGTAGCAAGACAAAAATTGGGGCTGGAAAACAGCCCATTAAAAATGGCAAAAGGTCAAAGCTCCTCTGGCTGCAAGAAGGACCTTTGCCCTGGTGTCTCTTTTTGTATCTCCTGCACTTCAGCTTCTGGGCACTAAGTGGAAGGTGAGCTTTGCAGGCTGTGTGAGATGGGCTGACCTGAGCTACATCTGCAGAATATACTAAAGAAACCTGTCTCTTGAGTTTACGCTTCTGGCACAGCAAAAATAAAGACTGCTGCAGCTATTCTCTTGACTGCCCTTACTGATGTTGTAGTTTGGGGTGTTGCTAGCTAAAAATACCAGCTGGGTTCCACCTGAACCTCACTCTGCGACAAGGTTCTCTGCCGATGTCTCAGCTCCAGGCACTCCACAGTCAGGGGGTACGTTTTAAGCTCAAACTTATTTGCAAACATACAGGTGGAGTTAAAAAGCCACTTGAGGTCACCTGTTCCGTATACACAAATGCCTCTGACATAATGGCCTGACAAAAGAAAAAGGAAAAAAGCAATGTCAGAATCAAAATCCAAATTATTTTTAAAAGCTTTATCTGCAAAGCCACTATAAGTGATCTCCAATGCAACAAACATGCTGAAAGGTCTATTGGATGTGCAATGGGAGTGTGAACAATGGGATGAAATGAAGAAAGTTACTTCAGAATAAATAAAGAGCAAAATAAGGAGACAGATCAGAAAAGAGTCATTACTAATTCAGACTCTTTTTCAGACAAGACTAAGACACAGCAAAGGGGAATTTCCTTCTGTCAGTGAAGAGAAACTGATACTTTTACTCATACTAGATTTTACACTAGGTGATTCTGAGTAATATTGGCGTAATTTCACTGATTTCAATGTAGTTATGCCCATGTGAAACTGATATAACTGAATCTGACTGAAGTTCTAAAATTTTTTATCCTCAATAACTATGTTATGGATTAAGAATTCTTGAAATAAAATTTACATTGTTAGCAAAATTTAGTATTGTTAGCATTTTGATATTCCCTTTCTTGTTCCATTTGGGTATGTCAGAAGTAGCAGTAGCAGTGTGCAATGTAGAAACCAGTGACTGAAAATTTCATTGTGCTATACCACAGATTATCTATTGTCAACGTCATGTCATAAAGTAACGTGACATAGGAAAACTGAAAACTCAATCATAATCGTCAACCAGCAGCTCCTTAGGTTCCTTGTCAGCTGTGGCTCTAGCAAGCATCAGTACACAGCTAAGAGCTGGGATTTGTCCAGGTTCACATGGGACATCTGCTCTGCACACTGCTGCTGGCTCTAGAACATCTGGGTCCCAGTGTGGGACATACATACGGACTATTCCCACCCGGCTATGAGAAAATTCCCCCAAGGTCTTCAAGAAAATAGTTATCTAACTCATTTGAGCCTTAAGAGCTGCCCTTATCCTCATTTCCAAGGCTGGTATTTTCTATAAAATTCCTGATGATGAAAATTTTCCAGCTTTCTCACTGTTTACGTAGCTTCTATCATTCACGTACAGGCTACGAAGGAGGTGACTTCTTTTTAATATATTCTCTCCATGAAATACTATCTAAAGACAGTCTCACATTATGGTTAAAGGCTGTAGGAGTACAAGAACAAAAGTTGAGTGATTTTCCCTATATGAACAGGAAGAAGTGATGGAGAAGTATGTACACATTACCATGACAACCTCCATGTGTCTCTTCCATATCAATCCACTTCACTGCTTTCAAGTCACCTTCCCATGATGCGTTGGGCATGGAGCCTGGGACACCTGCAATTAGGTAACAGAATATCAAGTAATTAGTCACTTTAACATCTGTGTGTTCAGGCTTACGTCCACTCTCTACGACCTTTCTCCACAGAATTAGGATGAAATACTTAGGAATATGCATCAACACATGCCTGGCTGCTAACCTTTTTGTCAAGCTTCTTCACAAAAAGCAGCTTTCATGATATAAATAAGATGTCAGCCCAAGAGACCTAAAAACTTCACTTCAGAAATAAGACTACACTTTTGCAACAGCCTCAGTAGGATACTGCATGTGTGGACAATCACTCATGTAACTTTCCACCTTCCCAATCAGCAGTGCCCTCCAGGTGCTATTTGAACAGTAGGCTACTGAGACATAATAGCTTCACATGAATATAGGCTCTGTGTAGCACTGCTCAGCAATGAGAAAAACATCCCTGAATTGTCAATACTGTTTCTAGCACAAATCCAAAGCATAGACCTATCCTAGCTACTATGAAGAAATTTAACTCTTTTCCAGCCAAAACCAGCATACTCTATATACTATATATACATTCTCATCACAATGAGATGAGAACAAAATCTTGTAGCGCTTGTGTGAAATGCATAATAACACTGCTTTTGAGTTACGGGACTTGTGCAAAGACAGGGATCCGAAGCCCTTTACATATGATTTTAGCTAAAATAAACGTTTAACATTTTAATCTCCAGTTCTGACCTCTCTCTTTAAGGCTAATTATCCTGTCTTCCTGATTTTATAACTTCATTTAAAGAATGGATTAATATAGGCTATTTATTTTGCTGGTTAACCACAATCCTAAATGGGGTGATTTGCCAGCCGTTCTGTAAAGCACATTTTCAGCGGGTGACTGCAATACATGCAAGAAGCCGGCAGCGCTGAAATGGTAGCTGAGAGTGTCATCATCCTAACCCTGGCGTTTTCTAAAACATAAATGTAAAAGCAAAGCAAGGTTTTGTAGATATTTAGTGCTATTTCTATTCCTTTCCTAGATGGCAACAAGTACAGTACCTCCACAGTTACCATAACCCATCAAATATTTTGCTTGTGAGCTTGAAGGGAAGCACAGTGAAGGACAAACGAGACCATGAAGGCACTGTATAATGTCAGGAGAGATTGGGGTTTTTTTGAGAAATTGGATAGGGGAAAGATTGAGCATCAGAGGCTTTTTTCTGTTTGCTTGCTTTGCTCTGTGTTTTTAAGAACAGCTTGTTCCTGGTAAGTAAGGATGGTTGTTTGCAACTACCAAGTCACAACTTCTATAACAGATGCAAAAAGACCATCTGATCTAACAGCAGAACCACCATAGCACTTTGCTGTAAACAGAGATATGTGGCAGCTGTAACCAGAACTTACTGCTTTATTTCTCCCTCTCTGTATATCGGGCTGTTATCAAATAAAATAACATGCCAAAAAGTGTTGGTTTGTCCTGGGGAAAATTCAGAAAATGTTATTTTTCTGTAGAAAGCATTAAGCTAAAGATAACACTTCATAAAAGACAAAAAGAGGAAGTGATGGTAGGGGAGAGACACTTTAAATGGCCTGCGATGTGTATTACCATCCTCAATTAAAAACCTGTTCATAACAGATGGCAGTAAATGCGGTGTGCGGAAAGACTTGGAAAATGCTGACACAGTGGAGAAGCAGCAGGATGACTGACAAAACAGGAATGACCCCAGGACATCCACAGAAACACTGGAAGGCGCTGCCTTCCAGGAATACAAAATTACTGACTTCACATTATTCACCATCTCCCAGATTGAGCAATCTAGGCATTTTTGTAAGTTAATTCAAGACTGGGGGGAAAGTACGGCTCAGCACAGGAGAAAAAAAATGAATTTACCACTTTTTCTTTTAAATATTTGTGTGAGCAACTGACTTCAGATTCAGAAGCTGTTCTGGGGGCCTGTTTGTGTAAATAGTTTGTTTGAGAAGTGGTGGTGATGTGAAAGTTAATATAAACTTCAGCATGAGTTGCTCACTCTCCTTTTATTCAGCTCTCATTTCCCACTCTGTCTCCATTAGTAGAGTTTTGTTCTTGTCCCTGAAAACAGGGAGGGCGGAAAAGCCTCTTCATGGGCAGCCATACTGAGCACTGTCCTAGAAACTAGTTTGCCACCACCAAGTCTTAGAAATAGCCACTGGCAGAACTGCACTGCTTGGGTATGAAGACAGACACGAGTCACTGGAAAGACAGGCCACCTCCTCCAGAGCCTTTAATTTCATGCCTTCCCTTGTTAGCGGAAGCTTGGAGGTGGAAAAAACACTGGAGCTCTTCATAGAACACAAGCAACACAACCTGTTTCTCCTCTAACTTTTTCCTGGGGTTTTTGCCATTGCAATTCAAGTGAGAGCTGATCTGCACGTGTTGGCCCCAAGAGACAGCCTGCTCCCTTTCCTTCTTGCACTGATACCACATATTATGAAGACAGACATAAGCAGCTCGCACAAAACGAGCCACTGCGTCGGAATTTCTGTGACACACACTGAACATAAACTGACATTGGGCTGGGAATCTTGCAGCATAAAAGGCTGCCTGATTTGCCTTGACCTTCCAAGTCCTCTCCCTGTGATTACAGGATCAAAGCAACACATCAGCTAAAACCTAGCTGCCAACAGGCTAGTCTCCACCAGTCCCCTGAAGCAGCCTATGCTTCCTCATTGGCATCTCTCTCTATCAAAGGAGACAACTTCTTTACACTTCTGTGCCACATACTGATTCAAGCTTTTCTCCTGCACTTTATAAGCTGGTGCACAGGAGTTTGTACTTCAGATATCTGCCTGAAATGCTGTACATACAACCCTTGGGAGTATTATTCTGCAAGACCTGATTGAAATCAACCATAACTTTTGCTGGCCTTTAGGGCCATGTGTTTATGTTTGGGAAATATGCAGGCCCATATACAGTGGTCCATGTATAGGTGGGCAAGCACATACCCTCAGCTCTATAAGTGAACCCACCAGTGTATGCAGGCATCTGGAAATTCACAACCCCCTTTGGTGGCTTTTGGAAAAGCAAGATGGTATAAGGAAGTGCAGGTGGGACTAGTGAGACAGTATGGCCAAAGAACGTGTAAGCCAAGGGGATGCCACGCTCCACCCCTGGGCCTTCATGGGGTACAGCAGCGGCTGCTAAGCAGGAAGGCATGCAGCATCATTCTTGAATCTGTCACACTGCAATGCCCACCACTCCTAGGATGCCCCTTGCCCAGTCATGGGTGCTAATATTCCGGGAGACAGCTCAGCCAAGTGGATGAATGTCCAGGATGTCAAACTCGGAGGCACAGTGTGCCTTCCTCACTTGCCACTAGCACTGCAAACATGGGCTCTCACCTGCTGGGAAGTTTTTCCATGTGAAACAATAGGACTGGTGAAAAACCTGCTGGTGGGCACCAACGAGAGCCACCAAGAGCTGGAAACACCTCCATGGACATGTGAGCTGTGGTGGCCATCACAACCTGGGAGGCGAAGAAGGCGTTGGGAAGCAGCCCAGCAGGCACTACACTGCCCGATGGAAGTGGGCCGGTGCCTTGGCATCCACATGGATGCAGTAGATATTCTGGGGCATGTACACTGCCCTGAAGAGCCGCCCAAAGGTCTCAGACTCCTTGTGCAGGGTCATAATGTAGGCAATGGGGAAGGCGGCCTCTTCAGCCGAGAGGGTGCGGGTGATGTAGTGATTCCGGGTGATGTACTCTGTGCAACTGGATTCTCTGGATGAAGCTTCTAAAGCATTTTCCTTCATAAAGGGCACCTTGTCTTCAATCAGTGCTTTGCAGGCTTCTGCTAACATTGAATTCACTGAGAAGTTCAGCCTCCAAAGAGATTTTTGGCTGAGGGACAGCAGGCTGCCCGTGGCACTGGCTGCAGCTGCCTGCACCTCGGGTGGAAGCCCTGCCTGGCCAACAGTATGCTGCACACCTGCTTCAGAGCCATGGCCTCAGGGGAGCCCACACTGCCCACCCCTTGCTGCCTGCCATGCCACAGCAACATGGCAGTGCCCATCAGTGCTGTGGCAGCCACAAGCAGTCTCACCACCCGTTGACACCGCATGGTCCTCACTGCCAGCCTCAGGCCACCCTTAGCCTGGTCACACCTCCCAGCAGTCCCACAGTGAGGGGACACAAGCGCAAGGCTGACCTGTCAAAAGCACTGCCACAAGACACCTCCGTCCCCTGGCAAGGGCAGTCTTGCCACTGCCTGCAGCTGTCCCAGCACCCAAGGGTGCTCCTGACACCTGCTGCCTCCATGGCATTTCCAAACACAGCCCTCAGGCCAGTGCTGGGGGCAATAGGACATGTGCCCCGAGGGCCGTCCCTACCTTCTGGTGATGGCCACCATGCTTACAACACTCCTCGGTACGTATTAAGTCCTGCTCATGGACACAGGGCTTCACTCCCAGCTACGTCCAAACTATTTTAGTCCCTTCCAGGTTCTCCAACAGTAAATTAGGTTTGTTTTGATTTGTTTTGTTTTCAGTTGTCATCTTGCAGAACTGCAGTCAAAGAAGTTAAACTGTCAGTGTTAGGAGGGTGGAGAGAAGCTGATGAGCAAATGCATATAGGATGGAAACAATCACCTCTTAACCCTGTATGGCAACAAGACTTTCTCTGACTGGGCTCACAAGGCAGTACGCAAGAACGGTTTGTTCTGAAATCATGGTTTATCTGTCTTCTTGCTTGTCCTGTGAGACAAGTTCTCCCACCTGTTCATGGGAGGGAGGTGCCTGCTAAAGATACGGGGGAGTCCTCAAAAGAAGAGATTTTCTTTCAAGATTGAATCAGTGGAGAAAATAAAAACCATCACTCCTTAAAAATGTACAGAAGCTTAATTTTGTATTTTGACGCCATAAATTTTCATTTCAGTGGGGTATGTTAATGCAAAAGTATGCGCATGGAGGGACAAGGGGTTAACTAATATAAACTCAAGATTATCAGACTTTAAAGCAGACCTTAGAACCTGGAGAGAAGGAAATAAAACTTGGGGGGGGGGGGGCAGAGAG